GCGCGTCAGCGCCCTTTTTCTGTAGTTCTGCTGGAGTTCGAGTTTCTACACTAATGCAGTCGAGTCCCTAAGCCTGAGCACCACGACAAGGTGCGCCACTCGCCCAGGGGGGGGGGGCCTGGCCCCCCCCCCTCTAGCGTGATATATCCCACAAAGGCCCCCCCCCCCCCCCCCCCCCGCGGTTCAACTCCCAGCTGCAGGCGTTTTGGCATTAGTGGAGGTGTTGTTACATGTTGGAAACTGTTGGTGTTTTGTTTGGTATTTTGGATTTTGGGGTGTGCGTTCAAAACCAGGATGTCAAAGACATCATGCGCTTGAATTTTGGATGATCCTGGATAGCGGAAACACATGTAATTATTGGAGAATCAAGATGACACTCATGGGATTTTGCATGCGTTTTTGCAAAACATCCACTGATTTAGTGTTTGTATTGAGGATTCATTGACGAGCTTTGTCGGAAGCATGGTCAGCTTCGTCGGACGCATGATCATTTGCTCGTTTTTGTCTTGTGGATGCATCACATAACATTGCGGCTGCGCCTCGTCAGTTGATGAATCTTCATTACCTGAGAGCAAAGTGATTGAATTTACTGTCTTGGACATGTGTGGTTTGGCAAAATCACGAAAGCTAGCATACTAGCTGAGTCTTCTTTGCTTTAGCAATTGGTAGTGGAATGAGCTGCGTGCCTTAAAGCTTCATATCTCACGCTCCCCCCCTCCCCCCCCCCACGGTTCGACTCCCAGTTGCGCCGTGTAGCGGGGGTTGGTTGAACGTGTGAACGTGGTTGGTTGGGTGTAAACGATGGCTTGGTGTAAACGGTGCTGCTGCTGCCGCTCTGCTGCTTGCTGCTGCTGCCGCTGGTTGCCGCTTTTGTAGCTGCTGCTTTGCTACTTGTTGCGGCTTGGTGCTGCTGCTGCTGCTGTTGCTGACGACGCCGCTGTTGCTGCTTGCTGCTTGCTGCTGGTGGTGCTGCTGCTGCTGCTACTGCGGCTTGGTGCTGCGCTGCTGCTGCGTGGTGCTGCTGGCTGGCTGCTGGTTGGTGGTTGCTGCTGGCTGCTGGCTGCTGGCGGCTGCTGCTGCTGCTGGCTGCTGCTTGCTGCATAGGACTTGTACTCCACCGTTACAAGTTCTTTTCCCCTATTTCATGCATAAGCGGGTGGTAAATTTACCACCCAGGTTTGCTATAACCATACACTGGCTATTTCCTCAAGACACTCTATTCCTGATACCTTTTACCAGTGCTTATCCTACACTACGGACGCCCTAGTGTATGCACAGTC